CATGGTGATCTCTGCTGATGTCATTGTAGCTGTCACCGGTCGCTTCTTATGTCGGGGATGATGATCGGCTGATCATCGTAGACGTCCAGGTCTGCGGCTGGAACAATCTCGGTTGAGAAAGTCCTAGTAGACTTCGTTGATTTCCCCTCAGATGTCAACGCTTGATAGCTTCACGAAGCTCTTGTGTAGTCCCTCGATGTCCTTCTAGATGATGATGATCTGGATTCAGGTGTCCTTCCTGAATGCCTTCGCGAAGCTTCCTCTGCGTCCGGTCCGGGGGAACGACGATATGACCTTCGCGAAGGCTTCCGTGATGTCTGATGGTCCGAGTCCACATCTAGGGATGAAACCGAAGAAGGTGATGATCTATCCCGTCGCGAAGGCTGTACATCTAGGTCCTTCGTCAAGGTGGTCCGTGACTTCCTTCGCGAAGGTGACATCGTCCTGGCTGCTACGTTGACGGGGGGTGCCTCTGGGATTATAATGGAGGGTTTATTTCTGGAGATCCGATATGGTGGTTGCCAACCATTATCTGAGAGATATCACCACCGAGGACGTCTCAGGTATCCACCAATTCGATCCCATGGTCCTCGCACAACAATTGACAGTTCCTCGGAGAAGATAAGTCAATCTTACAGATTTCTACTTATCTTATAACAGTACTAAATAGCTACATGCTATATATAATTTGCTTAAGTTCCTTTTATCATCACAGTACTATGATTATTACATCATACAATATATAAGTTAACAACTCTACAGAGTTTGTTATTATATATTTACCTTAAGTTAATCATATCTTAAGAGTAGTACTATGGTAACATGATAATGCATTAGCTAACAAACTCTACAGAGTTTTTGGCTATTATATACGTAGCTTAAGTTATTTATATCTTAAGCATAGTACTATACTCATATTATAAAAATATATTAGCTATCAAACTCTACGGAGTTTTGCTATTATATAGGTAGCTTAAACTTATTCATATCTTAAGCTTAGTAATACGTTTATATCATAAAGTATTTTAGCTAACAAACTCTAAGGAGTTTATACTAGCATATTAACAAATTTAAGTCTATCAGTCTTAAGCATTGTATTAATGTTATATATACTTTATCATAATAAGTACATTGTAATAACCTTTATATGGCAGCTGATAAGTTAGCAGCAGGAATTCATCAGTTCAGTGCCTTCATGAAGTTCCCATAGGGTTATTACAATCATCACAGATCAAATCACTAATTATTAAAATCCAAAGTATTCTATTACTCCCACCTCCGTTCCGTAGGATTCTACAAGCAAAAGAGCATGAGTCAGGATAAGGAAAAATATGTAATTTTTAGAGTAAAATTGATATTTTATACTTATCCTGACTCATGAGGTCAGCCCTCCCATCCTCCCCACATAACACTTTGGATTTCCCTGTAAATTCAAATGTTGGGCTCAGTATATGAGATATGGGATAATTATTACTCTAAAAATTACATATATATACTTTTATCATAATAAGTAAATTGTAATAACCTTTATATGGCAGCTGATAAGTTACAGCAGGAATTCTTCAGTTCAGTGCCTTTATGAAGTTCCCATAGGGTTATTACAATCATATCAGTTCAAATCACTAATTAGTAAAATCCAAAGTATATATAATCCCACCTCCTAATCCGTAGGATTCTACAAGCAATAAGCATGAGTCAGGATAAGGAAAAATATGAAATTTTTAGAGTAAAATTAATATTTTATACTTATCCTGACTCATGAGGTAAGCCCTCCCATCCTCCCCACTTAACACTTTGGATTTCCCTGAAAATTCAAATGTTGGGCTCAGTATATGAGGAGAGAGTGAGGCACATGGGTTCAGGTGGCGCCCTCGTTTCCCTCGCTTGTGGAAGGGAGGTAACTCGTGGTGGGTACTAATGAGTGATTTTTTATTGAAGGGAACTTCAATTGGGAGATACAAGTGTTCCACTAGGTTCGCAAGAAGAAGAAGACAAGCAATAAGCATGAGTCAGGATAAGTATAAAATATTAATTTTACTCTAAAAATTTCATACTGTAATACCTCTGAATTTTAAATATAAGTCAAAAAGCATTTTTCTAGCATTTCCGACAGTACTTTAGGAATTGATTCACCTTGTGTGAACAAAACCAGGCTAAAAGAGAAGTTGTTAATGGAAATACCCGAGCTATAAGCTCATACAAAGGGAAAAAGTGTTCTTTTAGCACTACAAAACGATGTTGCTCTAGCCCCTGTCTCTCTTGTTTTGGCCAGAGCTGCAAAGATATTGAGAAAACACATTCTGGACCACCAGTCCAAATTCGATGGTACATTTCGCGAAGGATGCATCAAAGATGCCATACCTGCAAGTCTTCTCCAGTTCGTTGGTATGGTGGAACATGGGGCAGACATTAAGTCTCAGCTTGGGTTTGGCTCATCCACGTCAGACCAGGCTATTGCTCAGCTCCTTTAGTACAACTGCTTCTCAAAACAGAAATAACAAGCAACTACCCATCGACATTCTAAGGATAGGGAAACTCCCTTCCAGTGTACCTGGGTATGGTAATCTATGCCAAAACCAGGAAGAGAAGCCTCGTAGAAATACTTCATGATCATGGCATGAGCATTTCGTATGACAGGGTGCTGGAGATATCAGCCCAACTTGGAGATGTCACAGTTAGCAAGTATGTGGAGGAGGGTGTGGTCTGTCCACCTGTTCTCAGAAAGGGTTTGTTGACCACTGCGATCATGAACAACATTGACCACAACTCTTCTGCAACCACTGCTACTACCTCTTTCCATGGTACCAGTATCTCTGTCTTTCAGCATCCTGCTACAGACAACCATGGGGAAGAGTGTCAACCAGTAAAATTCGGGCCAGAGAGGGCAAAATCTGTTCCTGAACTACTAGTACCTGATTCCTTTACAAATATCCCTCCTGCTTCATTGAAGTCAGAGAACCCAACACCGCCATGTGGTACAGTGCCAATGCCAACCACAGACCTGCTCAGACCACAAATGGCCCTGGAGTTTGAGTGGCTGGAGAAGGTCTTTATCACTGAAGAGATAGATGAAGCTGTTAACCTCACATGGTCAGCTCATCATGCATTTCAGAAATGAAGCCCAGAGTTTAAAGTGAGTATCACTTCTTTGCTGCCACTTCCCAGGGACGAGGCTCACTCTGTAGCTACAGTGAAGCACGTTCATCTCCTGTCAGATCAGGGAGCGGGACCTGCAGGAGTTCTTTCAGCATGAAAATCAATCATTCCCTGCATCTCTAAGTGATGGTGGAAAGATTTATAGCTGTCAAAAGTCCCAACTGACTTCAATACTTGAGATACATCACGCCTCCAGACCAAGAGCCAGAGGCAGATGACAACATCATTGATGTTTCAGCTTTGATCCATGCACTGCCACCGAAAAGGTCTAAGACATGCTGACTATGCTTTCTGCCAACTATTAGTGCATATGCCAGTACATACAAGACAACACCTGTTGTCTTTGATATGTACAGTCCATTAAGTCTGAAAGCAGACACAAGGTTCAAAAGAGGACAAGGAGTGAGACGCAACGTGACAGGAAAGAATAGCATTCCTTCAAACTGGCACAACTTTCTGAGGCACAATGGCAACAAATCGGAGCTGTTTCACTTCCTGGCTGACAGGATTGTCCAGATGTCTGCACCAAACTTGGTTATTGTGACCAAGGGACACCAAGCACTTGGCACACACAAAGTGAGTCTGACTGAACTGGACGAATGTTCTCATGAGGAGGCAGACAGCCGCATCTTTGTTCATGCCAGATATGCTGCAACCCAAGGGAGCAAATCCATCATAATCAAAGCCAATGGCACAGATGTCCTTGTGATTGGCCTGAGTATGTTCCCAACACTGCAAAGCATGGGTCTGCAGCAGCTGTGGCTCTTATTTGGCCAAGGTCAGAGCCTTCGATGGATTGGCATTCACAACCTGCACAACTCTGTTGGTCAAGAGAAGGCCAAAGGCATGTTGTTCTTCCATGCTTTTACAGGTTGTGATGTGGTGCCAGCTTTAAGGAATAAAGGGAAAAAACAGCTTGACAAACATGGGACATTTTCCCAGAGGCAACACCAGTATTTGCCAGACTGAGCCAGCATCGACCAACCATTGAGGATGATGAGACCCTAGAGAAGTTTGTGGTTCTCATGTATGACAGGTCTAGCACTGTAGATGGTGTGGATGAAGCTAGACTCGACTTATTTGCCAGAAAGCAGAGACCATATGAAGCCATTCCTCCATCCAGAACAGCTAATTCAACACGCTAAACGTGCAGCATATCAGGCAGGTTGTGTGTGGGCTCAGGCAATTCTGCGCCAGCCGGAAGCAGAGAGTCCAGCTGACTTGGGATGGGAAGAATGGAAAACCTTCTGGACAGCCAACTCTCCCACTGCAAAGAGTTGTGAACAGCTCACTAAGTGTGTCTGCAAGCCTGGCTGTCGTGGCAGGTGCAAATGCTACCGGTTTGGTCTCACATGCACAGCCTTGTGCAGTTGCAAATGTGAAGTGTAGTTTCTCTGTTATTCTGGGTGCAGTGGTTAGTTCAGTTACAATTTCGACTGTTTCTTGCTAAAACTGCCATTTGATTTATATATTGTTTTGGTATTGTAATAAAAACAACTTCATTTGGTCAAAAAATTGAAATAAGTTGTTTTACTTGAAGTAGTTACAACTTACAATGTAATTATTAGTTAAACGGCGGCCATCTTGAAAATGGTAGCCATTTTGGATTTTTGCGTGGCTAATGCCCTTTCTTGAAAGTGTGGACTCCAATGAACATTTGTGCCAAATTTCATGCTTGCATGTTTAAGTGAACTATTTTTGCACTTATCTGCTCCACTACAGGATGCACTCACTTGCTTAGCTACAAACACTGATAACATTTCTGTGATATATCCCTTCTTTGTTCTGTTTGGGAAATGACAGCTAATTTACACCCTAGCTTTAACTGTTGTTGGCCGTTTCAGCGATCAAGACCAAAGGACTTGATAGAGCTGCAGTACAGCTGTTTGTATCCTGTCCACGACAGCTTCTTTGGAAGGTAAGTCAAGATTTATCTGGGCAATATAAAGACTAATTCTCTGAGCAAATGTCAGTGTAAATTGCGGTGGCTGAGTGGGTTAGACGGCTGACTTTGAGTGCTGACGATTAGGTGCCTGACTCTGAGGGTGTGGGGTCAAACCCTGGATGGGACTTAACAAAAGTACAAGAATCTCTACTTGACTGAGAAAGTGTAATTCCAAAATATAACATGTTACATTTGACCACAAAATGGCATTGTGTATTCATGAAAATGCTCAAATTAGAATTACAATGACCCACTATCATGGGTGCGACTAATGTTTCCTAGCCGATGTCAGTTGTATTTCATTGATAACAGGAAGAAAGGGAATATCATAACTGTATCGACCACAGCAACATTGAAGTGTCACTGAATAGCCAAAGTGACGGGTGGTGAGGCTCAGTGACTGGGTTGATCTCAGTGCTGTTTTTGACAAGTTACAAATTCCACTTTTCTTTTGTTTTATTTTCAGACCATACTGTTTCCAGCTGGTGTCCAACTACAACAATAACCATGTACAGACCTGTTACCTTTGTGCTGATAGCGGGGATGTCGCACAGGTGTGTAGTTGTTGTCACTGGCCCCAGCAGATATACGACTTCTATACAGTTGTGACAGTGACAGATGTATGTCAATGTCCTTAATACTTGAGTCGCAGAATCTTTAAGATAGAGTAATCTATGGGACCACTAATTTAAGTTTAGTTGACACATGTCATCATGTCCCAATTGCATACATTGATGCTCATGCAGTTGATCACTGGATTGTCTGGTCCACACTTGAAAATTTACAGACCGAAGCCATATAGATGGAATATTTGCTGAGTTTGTTACACAACAATCGATCAAACAAAAGTCATACAATATGGCAGCCCTACTTTAAGTTGACAGTGTTGAAAAGAAAGAAAGGGGTGTGATTGTGTGTTTAAGGTTTGTTCTGTTGTGTTCTGGATCAAGGGACCTGCTGAATCTGTATTGTTACTAACCTGAACCATGTTAAACCCGACTTCTTGGCCTCCTCCTGTCCTTGTAACATGGACTGCCTCCGTGGTGTAGTGGTTAGAGCGTCCGCCCGGAGAGTGGAAGGTCGCGGGTTTGATCCTCGACCACGTCTTTCCAAAAGACGTTAAAATATGGTACTTGTTGGTCCCTGTCTGGCACTCGGCATTAATGGGTACAACAAGGACTGGTCGGCTCGGAGTCAGTATAATGTGTCTGAGTGGGGTATTCATGCTTCACTGCGGCATGGTATCTCAGTGGGCTAGCACTATAAAACCAGCTTCAGTCTGGGCTAGTACAAGCAGCCGCACATACACACGCATGCATGTCGTCATATGAGCGAAATATTCTCAAGCACGACTTTAGACCCAATTTCACCTCACCTCACCTCACCTTGTTACATGGATTAATTTGGAGACTTATTTTCATACACAGAAATGGATCCATGCTCTTAAGCCCTACTGTAACAATACACCTCTAAAGCGTCAGAGGAGCCTGAAGGAGCTACACAGTCTGTCAATCATCATATACGAAGCTCATAAACTCCACAACAAGTATCTTAACCACCCGTATGCCGTGGTCAGTCTGAACGAGGTGAAGGTCGGCAGGACAGAGGTCGGCGAGTCAACTAATCCTGTCTGGGAGCAAGAAATTGATCTGGAGTAAGTGAATGTGCTTGATTACATATTCATCATCAGCCCATGATAGCCTGTCTCATAGACTCCAGAGCATATATTTGATAAAATCTTCTTCATCCATTCTAATCCGTATCCAATTCTCAGGCCTAACAGCCTATACACTTTCTAGTAGCAGTCTATATTCATCATATTTTTAAAGTTATCAGTCAGTAATCACCTCCAGCAGCCTATATTTATCCCATTCTATATGTGTGGATATTTGCTAATACCACCAAGATCTGTACTGGAAGGGAGCCTGTGAAGATCCGGGTTAGAATTGATCTTCAGTAACACATTCTTGTTGTAAGAAGTGACTAACGGGATCGGGTGGTCACGCTCGCTGACTTGGTTGACACGTCATCGTATATCAGTTGTATAGATCGATGCTCATGCTGTTGATCCCTGGATTGTCTGGTCCAGACTCGATTATTTGCAGACATATAGCTGGAATATCGCTGAGTGTTCCGTAAAACTAAACTCACTCACCCACTGTACTCAAGGTGGCTCCTCGTGCAACACACATCCTGCCCATTTTATCAATACCCGATCAGGAGAACAGAAAATTACACAGGGAAGGGAACAAGTACCATGGCAACCAAGATTGAAAAACCCCATTGTGTTTTGTCTCCTGTTTGACTCCCATGCACATTTTCCAAGTCCATCCTCAATTCTTCCAATGAGAGTACAGTGGAAGCCCTATAAACCGGCAGCCCTCCAATCCGGCATGCTCTCCATACCGGCACTAGAATTTGGTCCCGACAGAAACTAGTTAATTCATGATCATATACACGCCCACTCATCTGGCGTCAGTCTATTCCGTATTTCGGCACAACAAAGATGACTATCAACACGAAAAAGGGAAAAGTTCTCTTTACCGGCACGCCCTTTATACTGGCATTTTTTGCTGGTCCCAACGAATGCCGGTTTAGAGGGCTTCCACTGTAGATGGTATTTTACGTTGAGTAAAGTTCTTATTCTGATTGTTGTTCAGGCATCCACTACATATCCTCGTCACGATATGGCTGAAATATTGCCGATGTGACGTTAAATTTTAACTCACTCACTCACTCACTACATATCCAGACTTTATCCACATTCATTACTATACCGTTTCAGGTAGAAAGAGAAACAAATGGATGAATCATGTTAAATCATTGTGTGCTCCTGCATGTCTCCCATGGTTACGTAGCAGAAATATGTCTGCAGCATAACACAACGTTAAATCTTGAAGTCTCCATTTGGAGCGCTTGTGAAACGTGAGTGCGTTCTCTGTGTACATATGGCATTCTTGTTGTATTTTCAGCGATATTCCGAATGATATCGAAACATTTTCTGTGACACTGTATAACAAGGTGAAGAGGGCAAAAGAAACAAAAGTTGGTGAGTATGGTTATCTCCGTACATCACATATATAGGTTTCACTGTACATGCGGCATAGAGCCCAGGTCACAAATCAGGTGAAGTATGCATTCCTTGGATGGGTGACCGTGTCTGTCAGCTTGACTCCTGAGAGTTTCTAGGACTTCAGTCCTGCCCCATAACAAGGCACAAGTGACACATGTATCTCACCCTAGGCAAGTGAGTTTATTCAAAAATTGCCTCTGTTCACCCAGCAGTGAATGGGTACCTGATAGTATAAGTCTGGATATGGATAATGGATATGACTGTTAACCTTCTAGCGGGTTATCCGGGGTAATAATCTGTTATCACCTTGAGCATGCACAAGAGAATGGAAAGAGGTGCTTTGTAACTAGCCATTAATGATAAGTAATAAATGTCACCTACTGATGTAAATTATTGCAACCAAAGTGCAATGGTGTTCTTGTGACCTGTATTTGTTGGGATTGTGACCTTGGTCACCTGTATTTGTTGGTGCTACTGTGAACTATATGAATGGGCATTATTATGACCTCATTGTGTCGATGTCTTTGTGACTTGTATCTGTCAGCTTTAGTTTAACGTTTGGCGTTATTGTCATCAATATATGTAAGAACATACTCTCACCTCAGAGTGTTTATGTTTCTGTGACCTGTATCTGAAAGGTTTGTTTTGACTCGAGTCTTCAGACTGTCATCTATATCTGTTGGTGATTATATGGGCATTATACGTACTTGTCCTGTACGTGAATGCGTCATTGTCAGTTCAATATGCTAAATGTGTGTGTTACTGAGACTTATATCAATGTTTGAATGACAATAATTTGTATCATGTTGCGTCCAGCTGAGGTGCAGATCCGACTATCTGAGCTGGACTCACTGGACCAAGTGGACGACTGGTTTATCCTCCGGCCAGCATCCCCCAACATCAAGGGGGAGATGGGCAACATCAGACTGAAGGCACACTACCTGCATGAAATCATCATGCCTTTGGAGGAGTACACAAGTCTCAAGGAGGTACCTACTTAGCACTACATCTCTTGTCTGATTGTAACAACGTAGATTAAACAGATATATGGCCATAGTCAAGCCATATGTGAACCCTAATCAGTGTTCATAGATAATCATATCGCAACTATTACACAGTGTTTCCGTTCTCTGGGATATACCTGAAAATCGCTGGTAAAATTCATTGGGGACCGGTAAATTGAAAGCAAGACGGACCTTCTGTCCGGTAAATAATCATGTATTAAAATTAAAAAATCATGGGTAAGCGAAATGACAGTCTTGGCTGTGCTTTCATGGTCGCAAAAATTGTTATGTTTTGGAAATACCCAGGCTAAAAATAACTTTAAAATGAGTACTTACAGAATGATAATATATGACCGTCAAATTTCATTCATGACCGGTAAAATTTTAGGTTGCCAGACACAGTGTCCGATAAATAATTTAGTCAGCGGAAACACTGCATGCACCTCAGATTTAAAATGTTTGAGACTGTGTCGGAGGTCTTGTGGATAGAACATCTGCCTTGAGAGCAGAAGGCTGGTTCTTCTGCATTAGTTCATATTGCAGACCTTGTAATTTGAACATTTGACATGGCATTACACATTAATTTGACATTAAGCACATTAATGTTTGTGTTTTGGGAAACCAGTGATGGTGTGTTAAGTATAAATGTTTGTTTTCCAGCTGTTGTTGGGTGATAACTATGAAAATGTCATCACGTTATCAAAAGTATGTGCCAAACACGAATGGTTGGGTCTGTCCAAATCCCTGCTGCGGATCTTCTGCCATGAGAAGAAGGAAGCCAGGCTTCTGAGGACACTAAATAACTTAGAGATAGACAAAGAAGGTGAGCTCCAGTACCTGTCATCTGATTTAAGGATGCTATTTGTACATTACTCAGATAGTTGTGTTTTTGTTGACCATCTTATACCAGAAATATGTTCACGTGAGACATCTTTCTTTTTTCTGATCACTTCTCCTGTTTTTTGCTACAGACTCTCTAATACTTCATATGTGTGCTAAGTGCATGTCCTCTAAGATGTGGAATATAAAGAGGATATAATGTGAGTGCCCATGTCATACTATGTTTATGACACAAGTGCCTAAATGCTGGTATTTCCCAAGCGAGAGCGAGCCTGATATGGGCACGAATATAATGTTCTGTTTATTACCTAAGTCATCAAATTGAGGAAATTAAACCCAAATCTACTTTCAAACATAGGCTGGCTCCTCGCCACTGCCGCATGCAGAACGCAACATCATAGAAAAAACATGACATCATAGCATTATTTATGGCGTCACATCACCATGACAAAGTGATATTTTGCCCTTGGGCATCGTATGAAAAATATGAACCCCAATATTTTCGCCCTCGTAGGTATTAAAACACTGTTATATAAATGACATTGTTGTTTTTGTCGTTATTATTTCTGCTTGATGTCACCAGTTGAAGTGTCCCAGCTGTTCCGAGGCACATCCCTGGCCACAGCCATGATGGACCAGTACATGAAGATGACTGCCACGACATTTGTACAGATTGCTGTCAAAGATTTGGTACAAAAGATTGTCGATAGCAAACAGTCATGTGAAGTAAGATCATTTTCTAAGTACATCGTGAATTATTCTTGTTTAGATTGTGATGATGTGCAGCACTATCTTGTCCTGAACAGCACAAATGGGAAACTATGTTGTCGGAAGATAGGTGTATTCTGTTCAGCACTATAGTCACTACAGTAATGTCAAGCTCGGAGGGGTGGTGGGGTAGCCTAGTGGTTAAAGCGTTGGCTCGTCACCCCGAAGACCCGGGTTCGAATCCCCATATGGGTACAATGTGTGAAGCCCATTTCTGGTGTCCCCCGCCGTAATGTTACTGGAATATTGCTAAAAGCGGCGTAAAACCAAACTCACTCAGTCAGTCAAGCTCGGACAGTCCTTGGATGGGTGACCGTGTTTGGCAGCTTGACTCCTGAGAGTTTCTAGGACTTCAGTCCTGCCCCACGACGAAGCACATGTGATACATGTGGTCTCATCTTAGGCAAGTGAGTTTGTTCAAAATTGCCTCTGTTCACCCAGCAGAAAATGGGTACCCGGTTGGATAAAGTTATGTGACTATAACCTTCTAGCGCCTAACAGGCAGCTTGGGTTATTCTGGGGTAATAATCATCAGATTCTGATTAATTCTGCGAGCAATCACTTGGTTGTTTGGAGACTGTGCGCTATAGAAGATGACTTATTATTATTATTATTATTATAATTATTGTGTCCACTGAGGAGCAAAGAAGAAATAGATTGATACCTTAACAGTGAAATGAATATGGCCTTCGGTGGACATAATGTACATAATAGCTTCTACCCATGTTTGGTTGGGTGTGTGGGGGGTGCTGGGATGGGGGGACAGCCATGTGGTTCAAGTGTTCATGTGTCATGCCGAAGGCACAGGTTTGATTCCCCACTTGGGTACAAAGTGTGAAGCCCCTTCCTGGTGCCCCCTGTCGTGATATTGCTGGAATATTGCTAAATACGACATATAGCCCAACTCACGCAATTCTTCCCATGTAGATTTCTTGTACAATGTATTTTCTGTACATTCCTTCTGCATTAGGGGCTATGGGGTAATCTAATGGTTAAAGTGTCCGCTCGTCACGCTGAAAACCCAGGTTCGATTCCCCACAATGGTACAATGTGTGAAGCCCATTTCTGGTGTCCCCCTCAGTGATATTGCTGGAATATTGCTAAAAGTGGCGTAAAACCAAACTCCTACTGCATTAAGTTTACACATTTTGATACAAATGGAATATGTTTAAAGTGGTGTTAAACCAAGCTTACTCATTTACTAGACATCTTCAGTGAGACAATGGACTGTTTGACAGCAATGGCTGGTAATAACGTGGTGTCTGTGGAAACAAGGGGAGTTTGTCTGTCAATATGTGAGTGATGGAATGAGAAATTCTTAGTTCTGGAGTTAATTTGAATCTTCTCCTTCTTTCAGCTTAATCCAGCTTTTCTAGAAAACCCATCAGATGCCAAATCAAACCAAGAGTATTTTCTCAGTCTCCTCAACAATGTCATAGAATCCATCTTCAAGGCAACAGAATACTGCCCCACGTGAGTTACTGTTAACATTTTACTCTTTGGATGAAATGATCAAAGAGAATGATTGCTCAAAGGTTTTTGAATTGTAGTATTTTTTACCTGATGACGTTTTATTGGTTACTTGGTTGCTGCAAGTCATCATATCCTAATTGCGTATATCGATGCTCATGATGTCACTCACTGGAGTGCCTGGTCAACACTTGATGTTTACAGACTGCACATAGCATGAATATTTCTGAGTGTGGCGTTAAACAACAAACTTCTTGTTTGTCTGGTCAAAACCAGCTAATCAATGACTAGCTGTGATATTGTCATGTTGAGTTAGTCAGATGGTAATGTTTCAGGGTGTGAGTCAACCCTAGTGTAATGTTTCAGGGTGTGAGTTAACCCTAGTGTAATGTTTCAGGGTGTGAGTTAACCCTAGTGTAATGTTTCAGGGTGTGAGTTAACCCTAGTGTAATGTTCAGGTGTGAGTTAACCCTAGTGTAATGTTTCAGGGTGTGAGTTAACCCTAGTGTAATGTTTCAGGGTGTGAGTTAACCCTAGTGTAATGTTTCAGGGTGTGGGTTAACCCTAGTGTAATGTTTCAGGGTGTGGGTTAACCCTAGTGTAATGTTTCAGGGTGTGAGTTAACCCTAGTGTAATGTTTCAGGGTGTGAGTTAACCCTAGTGTAATGTTTCAGGGTGTGAAATGGTTAACCCTAGTGTAATGTTTCAGGGTGTGAGTTAACCCTAGTGTTCAGGGTGTGAGTTCCCTAGGTTTCAGGGTGTGAAACCCTAGTGTAATGTTTCAGGTAATGTTTCAGGGTGTGTGAGTTATGTGAGGGTGTGAGTTAACCCTAGTGTAATGTTTCAGGGTGTGAGTTAACCCTAGTGTAATGTTTCAGGGTGTGAGTTAACCCTAGTGTAATGTTTCAGGGTGTGAGTTAACCCTAGTGTGATGTTTCAGGGTGTGAGTTAACCCTAGTGTGATGTTTCAGGGTGTGAGTTAACCCTAGTGTAATGTTTCAGGGTGTAATGTTTCAGGGTGTGAAACCCTAGTTTCAGGGTGAGTGTGTAATGTTTCAGGGTGTGAGTTAACCCCAGTGTAATGTTTCAACCCTAGTGTGATGTTGTTTCAGGGTGTGAGTTAACCCTAGTGTGTGTTTCATGTTAACCCAGGATGTTTCAGAGTGAGTTAACCCTAGTGTGATGTTTCAGGGTGTGAGTTAACCCTAGTGTGATGTTTCAGGGTGTGAGTTAACCCAGGGTAGTGTAATGTTTCCAGGTGTGAGTTAACCCTAGTGTGATGTTGTTTCAGGGTGTGAGTTAACCCTAGTGTAATGTTTCAGGGTGTGAGTTAACCCTAGTGTGATGTTTCAGGGTGTGAGATGTTCCAGGGTGTGAGATAACCCTAGTGTAATGTTTCAGGGTGTGAGTTAACCCTAGTGTGATGTTTCAGGGTGTGAGTTAACCCTAGTGTAATGTTCCAGGGTGTGAGTTAACCCTAGTGTGATGTTTCAGGGTGTGAGTTAACCCTAGTGTAATGTTTCAGGGTGTGAGTTAACCCTAGTGTGATGTTCCAGGGTGTGAGTTAACCCTAGTGTAATGTTTCAGGGTGTGAGTTAACCCTAGTGTTATGTTAACCCTAGTGTGTGTTTCAGGGTTAACCCTAGTGTAATGTTTCAGGGTGTGAGTTAACCCTAGTGTGATGTTTCAGGGTGTGAGTTAACCCTAGTGTAATGTTTCAGGGTGTGAGTTAACCCTAGTGTAATGTTAACCCTCAGGGTGTGAGTTAACCCTAGTGTAATGTTTCAGGGTGTGAGTTAACCCTAGTGATGTTCCAGGGTGTGTTTGTAATGTTTCAGGGTGTGAGGTAACCCTAGTGTAATGTTTCAGGGTGTGAGTTTCAGTAAACCCTAGTGTAATGTTTCAGGGTGTGAGGTAACCCTAGTGTGATGTTTCAGGGTGTGAGTTAACCCTAGTGTAATGTTTCAGGGTGTGAGTTAACCCTAGTGTGATGTTCCAGGGTGTGAGATAACCCTAGTGTAATGTTTCAGGTTGTGAGTTAACCCTAGTGTGATGTTCCAGGGTGTGAAGTAACCCTAGTGTAATGTTTCAGGGTGTGAGGTAACCCTAGTGTATTGTTTCAGGGTATGAGTTAACCCTAGTGTAATGTTCCAGGGTGTGAGTCAACCCTAGTGTAATGTTCCAGGATGTGAGTCAACCCTAGTGTAATGTTTCAGGGTCTTTGGTAACCAGGGTGTAATGTTTCAGGGTGCTGAGATACATCTGTGGCTGCCTCCAGAGGAAAGCCCAGGAGAAGTGGCCTGACGATGAAACAGTTAAAACAAGGGCTGTCAGGTAGTTGAATGCATGAACAAAATGCCATTTACTATGATCATGCTATTTGTGTACAAGTGTTAGCTAGCAAACATTGTCAGCTTGGGCCAAACTACATTCTTTATAACCCTTTAACTTATTGGGAAGGATCACTTGATTGTCTGGTCCAGACTCAATTATTTACAGACCAACGCCATAAGTGGAATATTGCTGAGTGCGGCATAAAACTAAACTCACTCTCTCATTATTGGGAAGGAATTAAACCATTTCAACTGATGCTGGTCATAAGAGGTGATGTAATGAATCGGTAGTTCGAGACTTGGTTTATTGCTTGACTTCTGGACGGCATGGAATGTTGCAGATAATGTCAGTCACTGGATTGTCTGGTCCTCATTGTATTATTTACAGGTGCTGTCATAGCTGGAATATTGTTGATTGTGGTATTACTACAGAAAACCGTAAACAGTAACTGATGCCTACTCTGTTTCAAAGGTTACACAGACATGTGGATGTTAGTTGTCAGTAATGCATCAAAGAGACTGTAGGTATAGAGGACCAGGCATCCATGTGAAATGGTTATCAACAGAGATGATTGACAATTGCTTACATTGTGATGATTATTCTTGCAGTGGTTTCATCTTTCTTCGATTGTTGTGTCCTGCGATTCTGACCCCAAAGTCTTTCAATCTTGTCTCAGGTAATGTTTGATTTTGTCTCCATGGTTACAGAATTATTAGAGGCAAATATCATTGTTGAAAGTTGACTTTTAATGATTGATAGGACTGACTGCATTGCAGTTGTCTATGGGCATGCTACCTCTATGCCACCTGGAACAGTGGGGCAACCTGATGGTAAAAGCGCCTGCTTGTCACGCTGATTCCCAACATGGGTGGCAATGTGTGAAGCCCATTTCTGCTGGAAACAATGGAATATTGCTAAAAGCGGCGTAAAACCTTACTCACTCACTCTATGCCACCTGAATACATCAGTAGTCAACACTGAGGCATTGTTAGGCTGTGGCTTGGAGCATGAAGAGAAAGAACCCGATGCCATGGTGACCATTACTAAACTACCCATAATGATCTGCTTGTCATGGTTTCACATGATCAGGATATTTCAGTGACAGTAGGTAAATCTACAGCCCATCCTTGGGAACTCATGACACAAGCCATAATGTCCAGACTTCATTATTTACTGTCTGTGGTCATATGGCTGAAATATCGCTAAGTGTGGCTTTACATAACAAACAAACATATTCGCGTGTAGTGGTATTTCAGATATATTCTCTGTTTCCTTTAGAAAATCCGTCAGAAACAGCTGCACGGAACTTAAAGTTGGTTGCCAAGGCGATACAAAACTTAGCCAACCTTGTGGAGTCCGGGCACGAAGGTAGGTTGCTTAATGTATTCCTGGGTCAAAACAACAACATGAATAGTTAATACCTCATACCAGCATTTATTACTAAAGAAATGTTTACAGCTGTAACAGCTGTTTCTTGTTCCCAGTGTAACTGCCTCTGTGGTTGTGCAGATACAGCTTCCTAATGTCGTTTGTTCATTCCCCGACAGGTCATATAAGAAACATTCAGTGCTGGTACGAAATCCCTAGCTGACGCTCATCCATAAGATGATAAAACAAAGAATGGCCAGCTTGGGAGTCTGCATGGACACACACAATCTGTCTGTCTGTCTCTCTCTGTTTCGGTTCTCTCTGTTTCTCTGACCGCCTCCGTGGTGTAGTGGTTAGAGCGTCCGCCCGGAGATCGGAAGGTCGCGGGTTCGATCACGACCGCTTCATACCAAAAGACGTTAAAATATGGTACTTGTTGGTCCCTGCCTGGCGCTCGGCATTAATAGGTACAATAAGGACTGGCCGGCTCGGAGTCAGTGCAATGTGTCTGAGTGGGGTATTCATTCTTTTCAGAAGAAGTCCTCCTTGGGGTACATATAAGCATTAAAATGTCCATTTTAAATCCTACGACAGTTGTAACTATATTTTTAATAAAATATTTACAAAACAAAAACTCGCTTTGTCTTGTGAGACCACCCCCTACAGGGCCCCACCGACCAACACAGCCAAGAGCAGGTAACTCTCGCCGCCTACCTCGTGACCTCACTTTTCATGCTGTCGCTCTGTTGAATAGACGCGGCGTGGTGTTCGCTTCGAGTTTGCTCTCCCACCGATACGATGATGAGTGTAAAAGAGTCTCAATCTGTATGTATGGTTCCTTTCTCTACGCATCGGTAGATGGACGCCATATGTGGATATTTTCATTCATCTTTGTTGTAACTTTGCCGGGGTTCTCTGTTTTCCAGCCATGTGGCAGGCAAAATGGCGGACCGCTACGATCGCGGGTTTCCTTGCTATATGTTCTTGGTAGCTTGTAGTAGGGAGTTCATATATTATGTTTGCATATTATATGGTAGGCTTGCCTAAATTCTCTTCTTTCAGCCAATTTGTGGTAAGTCGTTGTTGAGTAATTTTGATAGTGTTCGCTTCAGATCACCAACTTTACTCTATCACTAGTACACGAGGGGTGGCTAGCCTTTTTCTGCTTTGCATTGTATGTTTAGTATTTAAATGGCTGTAGCTTGTAGCATTTATATATCGCCCGCGGCGGATTATTCTTGCTATTACTTGTGTTTATGTGTTTGCTGCTTCACAGTTCCTGCTAGTAACACTGGCGTGGTTCTGTTTGTTGCAGTTTAAGCCCTGTGCGCTTGTGCCATGCACACTACCGCCACAGGATGGTTATAAAGTGTGCCTCCGTGTTTAGCCGAGGACGCCACGACGCATCAAGGATGCTCATAATAAACGCCTTTAAGGCCAATATTCCTGTTACATTATGTTGTATTATGATACATATTTCATATACGCTTACACACAACGCGGCTCATAGGCCGAGGTTGTGGTTTTTGTCTGGGTTTCTGCGCCACCACGCCAAGATTCTTTTCCGACACGCAGATTTTATGTTTTTCACTAATCTGCTTCAGGCGGGGATAATATTTGATAAAAGGTTTCTAAGGAAATCCCTTTATCGCTTCCCCAGCAAACAATGTTGCTGACTTAAATATGACTCAATTTGCTTCACTATTGCAGCAACATATTCTTCAACATAATGTCAATTCGATGATTGATAGCGATGTCCGGCCCGTAAGGAGCCTCGCCTCGCAAAGTGTTGATCTCGGCGTAAGTTCACCAGGTGTCGCCTGTGGTGAAATTCCCACCGATTGACACGGTGTCTGTCTGGGTTCCGCAAGGAGCTCAGCACGCCTGTCGCCGGGGTGGATCGGACGATCTGGGGTTACTGCGCCCGAGCTCTGGCTCGAGAACGCCAGCCTCCCAGGCAGCTTGATCCTGGCTTCGCTCAGGTGATGGTGTGCCTTCGCACCTTGTGGCTTACCTAGCTTCGGCTCAGGTTCGCCACGGGCGCCTGGCCGGGCGATGCAGGTTTTGCCCTGTCTTCGCCTGGTGCCCTGACTGGCGGTCGCCTAGGCGCAGACCAGCTCGGGACACCTCGGCGCTTCGCACCTTGTGGCTTACCTAGCTTCGGCTCAGGTTCGCCACGGCGCCTGGCGCCGGGCGATGCAGGTTTCGCCTGCAGGTTTTGCCCTGGTGCCCTGACTGGCGGTCGCCTAGGCGCCGACCAGCTCGGGACACCTCGGCGCCACGCGGTCAGTCGGGCTGCCCGGAAACCTGTATATCGGCAGGTTCCTCTCGCCCCGTCTGTTCCACTGAGCTGCCGATCACCTCGGCGCCCTAGGTCTACCTGTGTCCACCAGGGGCAACCTGCATTGCCAGGCTACTCCCTTGTGTCTCGACTGCAGATCGGACTAGCACCGACCTGGGCTTCGCCCCGCACGGAGCAGATCCCCGGGCGCTGTTAGCTCAGGTCTCGCCTGATGTCTATCGATGCCCTGGCCAAGAGGCCGCTGAGTGTGACGAAGCTGCCGATCACCTCGACGCCGAGGTCTACCCGCACACACCAGGGGAGCCCTGCATTGTCAGGCCACTCCCATGTGTTGGGGATCGGGTTCAACTCGAACCGCCGACCCGAAAGCACTGACGCATATATATGTGTATGTATGGGTATTTATATAGCGCTATAGGCTATGTTTGACTATACCAGTGCTTTTGAGAGTACTTGGGGAAACCTGATTTATCAGGCTACTCCTACGCAGTCTCGATCGGGTTCGGCTCCAGAACAGCTGAGCTTCGCTCTGGCGGATTCTCTGAACCCCTCGTGGTAGCCACCCAGGCTTCGCACTGGTAGGGCGCAGATTCCCCGACCGTAGTTCAGGTCTCGGCGCCGTAGTTCAGGTCTCGCCTGATGTCTATCGACGATTGACCTAGATGCCATCGAGTGTGCCGGTGTGACTGTCACCTCGCCCCCGAGGTCTGTCTGAGTGCTTGTGAAACCTTGATTGTCAGGCTTCTCACATGTGCCTCGAATCGGGTTCAGGCTCGCATAGTGGACAAGTCGATTTGAGCTTCGCTCATTTCGCTACTTTGAACTTACCACTAAGTAGGTTCGCCCCCCTGAGGGCAAGTGCGAGATAGAATCGCTGCTGTGTTGCCTCAGGTGTTGTCCATGTCGACTACCCGAACCGCTGGAGTTCGCCTCCCGAGGGAAGCCTGCTTCCAGCACGCATCCGGGACAAGGCCTCACACTCCCCGCCAGTCTGCCGTTCTTTCCCCTTCACAGCTCAACGCTGTATGCTCCACTGGCGCGATCTCTCAGCCGCTGAGGGAGCTGGTGGAAAGGGGAGAGCCCGGTGGAATTTTTTCGCCGGGCGACTCTGGGCTGCATCTGACGGGGCAACTCTCATCTGGCTAGGGACTGCATTGTAGCTGTGCCAGTCAAATGATGAGGGCGGTTATGGGCATATACCGGGACAGTTTCGGTGGAATACGGAAGTCTGTTGAGCTTCGCTACTTCAGGTGCCCAGGCATCGCAAACGCTAAGCTGCCGACTGCTGGGGTTACTATATTCTGCCGCGAAAACACCGGGCGGAGCGACACACTCCTGTGTCGGCTTCCCGAGACGGCGACAATACCCTCGCGCCCAGATCCAGTCTTTGCTGGGCTAGGCAACCAGTGTGGTGGTTTCCAATGGTCAGGAATATGTGGGGTTTGACTCCACTTATTTCATAGTTGCCATTACTTAACGGAATGTTCAGACCCATTCTCATCTGAGAGCTGAACAAGTTTATAGAGGTACTGTCCTTCAAGATGGAGACACCGCCGGTGATCTCATCTGCCGAGACAGGGATTGGCGACGCCAATCGACCTCGAGGTCGCTGCACTTTTGTTCCATTGCACCCTGATTTCAAGATTTACCTTCGGGTTTCTTGTTTGACGGACGCATACCAGTTTCGCGGTGCTCTCCTTAGGCTACATTACGGTGCCAAGGGTGTTCACCAAATTGAGGTTTATTACAGCTCAGATAGCCAGATCGCAGTGCCGTGTTGTCACCCGCATATAGGCTTACTGACTCATCGCGGTTTCAGATAACTGTTGAGTCTCGGGACCTCACGATCATCAGTTACTTAAACTGGGCGGAATTGTCAACCTCACGCAGTCAGATGGACAGACGCCAGGCGCCTCTCCGAGGGTCCCCACCCCTGGAGACACCGCCGCTTCAGTCCAGCCAGATACATCCCTACCGGTTAGGGCGATGTTCTGGGTGACCTGCAGCCTCTTGAGACGAAGTCACAACCTGCACATCAATGTGCTGGAATTGACAGCAGTCAGGTTGGTGTTCGATCCCGCACGCCGATTCAATTACCTCTTCGCCAGACATTCTCACTTGCACGGGCGCCACACCAATCCTCGGATTCACTGGGTGGCTTGGCCTCTGTCGGGTATAACACACGGAATTCCTGCAACCGCTGCAGACACAATTCTGCCTGGGATTCGGCAACTGCTCAGTGTGTTGATAGGTGGGCTGGTGTGCAGATAGGGGATTTCATAATCCCTATTCTGCGGACTTAGTTCGATATTGGAGTTACTATAACCTCGCTTTGGTTGAGAGCCTTATGACCTCCACCATTGCCGGGTACTCCATGGCTATTTCCACGCTTCACACCTCGCTCGATGGTGCTCTGCCTAGGCAGCATCCTCTCGCATATCGCGTCAGAGCTGGCATGAACAGGGTTCGACCGCCGCCGGGCCACCCAGCCCACCTTAAAATTGCCACTTATTCACAATTGGCTGTCTGGCCCTAATTTTTCAAGTATATCGCCTCTCACTTCACTTGTTGACGGGAAGACGACTTTTACTTGTTGTGGTGAACTCTGGTAGAAGGGTCGGGTACATCCATGCGATTCCCACTGACCCGACACTGACAGTATTTTATACTGATCATGTCCGTATTCGACTCCCCGATACCTACCACTCTCAGTGCGATATTGCTTTCCACGCGACTGCTCATATCGCGACTTCCACCCCTTACCCAGCCTTTCCGCGACCGGGACCAATCTTTCGATTGCTCACCCGCGCCTGTCACTTAACGAACGAACAAAAGGGATCCGTGACGGGTACCCATGTGTGCTGTTTGGTGGCGGAAGACTGGGGAGTCTGCTAGCAAGCGACTTTTATCTCGCTGGCTTGTTTCCGTGAATTGTATGGTTACAATGATACGGTTTACCTCCCCCGAGGGGTTGAAGGCAGACTGGTAGGGCAGATGCCGCTTTGTTGACAATACACAGCGCACTGCTCAATGAAGAGATCGGTTCTGTCCCTTTGGAGCCAGCAGAACGCCTTCATTCGCCATTACCAACTTGACACGATTCTAAGGATCGTGGCTCGGTTCGGTCTTTCGTTCTCTCCAGTGGAGAGTGACTCTGCCACCCTGACCAAGTTAGTAACTGGTCATTGGTATCGGTTCTGTGTTCAATGTCGATATATTTCATATCACTACATCGTGATTAGCCTTACCATCCTTTCGGGTTGGGTCGGGTTTGGGTGTACATACGCCCCTTTACGCCCCTTCAAGAGGGCGGGTCCGCTTTGAACGCTTTAACCAGTCATATGTTATTAACCCGCCTTGGCGACGGAATTGGGTGCGAACCCCACGGGCACTGTTTGGTATGCCTCTTCTCGTTTCGCATGTCACGCGACCAGGTTAGTGTAATGGTGAGCCAACATATGTTCGCTACTTTCGCTATTCAGGGATTTTGCACGCTTACAGTTTTTCCCTCTTCCCGAGCCTTCGCATTTGGGAGTCTGTGTTAATCAGCTTTGTGGGATGGTGGCCTACACTTACCCTCCCTCACGAGAGAGTGTTTGGTGGTATTTTTCACTGCATAAATGCATGGCGCTTGTACTGCTCGATTTTCCTCAGAAAGTTTTAGCGAGGCTAATAATTTCTCTGGGTTTTATCGAGGTCCCGCAAGCCCTCTTCCAAACAGGGCTGCATCTCGAGCATTAGTTTGCAGTACTTATTAGCTCGACTTCTGGGTTATTGGCTTTGTAGCTTAAATTTTTACGCTTCCCTACCCTTATACCTCTCGCCACGCATTGTCTGGCTGGGGCTATATTAGGGTTGGGAGTTGTTTCGCATGTCCCCATACATTCCTTCCATTGTAATGGTTGGGGCGGGTTTTATGTCATTGATATTGAGCCAATTGACATATAAGCTTGGGCTCTCTAGTTCCTCACTCGCCTGATTGACATCAGCGTCAGGTGGCTCGGTGTTTTCTATTTCCAGATCGGGTTGTAGATTTCACTCCACCACGGGTTTAGTTGTTGCCAGACAGAATGCCACCCCGCCTCAAATATCTTTGGGAGTCTGTCATATGCTTATATGTACCCCAAGGAGGACTTCTTCTGAAAAGAATTATACAAACCTGTAGAGGTTATGAATTCTTTGAAGAAAGTCCTCCTTGGGTAATGGCCACCCGCCCCCCTCATTCTGTCTGACACGCTCAGCATGAAAAGTGAGGTACGAGGTAGACGGCGCAGAGTTACCTGCTCTTGGCTGTGTTGGTCCGTGGGGCCCTGTAGGGTGGTCTCACAAGACAAAACGAAGTTTTTGTTTTGTAAATATTTTATTAAAAATATAGTTACAACTGTCGAGGATTTAAAATGGACATTTTAATGCTTATATGTACCCCAAGGAGGACTTTCTTCAAAGAATTCATAACCTCTACAGGTTTGTATAAATTTCCCAATAAACCAGTGGGAAACCTTGAATATTTGGATAAACTGTTGGCATGTGATAAAATATTCATGTCAAATTAATGTCCTGTCGTAAATGTCCTTGCCAGAATATCCCGGTGGACAACACAATTCCGGAGTGCCCCGAGGGAGACCCTGCCCGGGATCTGGCCACCATACATCAGCTGTGTGCTGCCCATCTGGAAGATCTCCGTGCTCAAAGCGAAGCCCAGGTGTGTAATAATAATGATAATAATTCAGAATGTTTATAACGCGCCTTTCCAGGCTTCATACCTTGCTCAAAGTGCACAAAGGATGCTAAAATGCACAATCTGATTATTATTACCCCAGATAACCCAAGCTGCATGTGAGGCGCTAGAAGGTTAATAGTCCCATGACTTATCCCACCGGGTTTGTCTGGCCTGAATGATATAGTTAAAATATGGCTGACTGTGGCATATGACAAGGAAACACTTGACGGCATCATCTCGTGGGCGAGGTCTTCTTGTTCCAGTCTGCTTCATCCTGTGTTGATGTAAGACCCACCAACACACGGGTTTGCAGGTCACGGTGTGGGGCTTGACTCTTGTGTGTGGCTGCCTCCATGGTCCATGCTTCTTCTAGAAAGATGAAGGTCTATGGTTCAATCCCTGGATGTGTTATAACAAGAGAAGTTAAGGGTTGTACACATGGCTGTCACACAAGGCCTACCTGGCTCAGGGTCTGTTATCTGAGTGGGGTATCCTTGTAATACTGAGAATGGGCTACCCAGGGATTTACGGGATGCAAATTCCTGCGTCCTATACACATGAAAATTGACAAATTTATAAGTCTGTCCACAGGGACGCAGAAAAAGTCCAAATAGATTTTTGGGAAAATTTCAATCAAGTAACAATAAGTTATCACTGAGTCTGCTGCTAGCTGGGTTATGGTATCATTTGCAATTTACTTACTGTAACAATGTGATGATCATGATTCACAGTACAATAGCAGTAACAGAATTACAACACTATTACAACATAGTATTAATAATAATATTTAACTTTCTGGGACCCCCATTTTGTAGTCCAGGAGCCCTGCTAATTAAGAGTATGAGTCCAAGGGACCCTCAAATACAGGACTCAAGGTAGATCCCTGGCTACCACTGTAAAACCAACACTACTCAGGCCCACCACAACCAACCACACAGACCCGTGAAGATCCGGGGTAGAATAGGTCTTCAGCAACCCATGTGCTTGCCATAAAAGGTGACTACCGGTATGCTTGTCGTAAGAGGCGACTAACGGGATCGGGTGGTCAGTTTCGCTGACTTAATTGACACATGTCATCGGTTCCCAATTGCGCAGATCGATGCTCATGCTGTTGTTCACTGGATTGTCTGGTCCAGACTCGATTATTTACAGACCGCTGCCATATAGTTGGGATATTGCTGAGTGCGGCGTAAAACTAAACTCACTCATTCACTCACCAACCACACATGCAACATGTCTCTATGTGTACAGTAATGTTCAACAGTGTGTGTCAACAGAGTGTGTGTCAACAGTGTGTGTCAACAGAGTGTGTGTCAACAGTGTGTGTCACCAGACCATGATGGCTTGAATGTTTGCTCTTTGAAAAAAGGACTGGTCTGCCTAGTGTCAGAGACTAGAAGTATTTGCTTAATATATGTGATAATTTTCTAAAATAGTTTA